ATGGATAGTCGTTGAAACAGCACGGGTGTCGGGGAATCCTTACGCTTGTCTTTCTCTATTGCACTGTTCTCTGGAAGTGTGGGGTCGTCAGAGAGAAAAATGGAGATTTAAAAAGTCCATGCTTAAGTCCCCGGATGGTTGCAGGTGTGATTTCCAGGCAAACGTCCTTTGCAGGCAGTCGAACACACCCGTGGCAGTGGAGAGAGTGGGCCTAAATTCATACCTATCCCAACTGGACCCTGATGCTTCCCTCCCAAGCCTCATGTTCTTTAGCCGTCGTCTGAGTGAAGACCCTCACCTTGCAGGATAGTGATCCTGGCGCAGGAAGCTGCTTATAACGTTCTTGCTTAGTGAAGCGGCTTGTGCATTCAGTGGGAGCTGCTCTATTGTGGACTGTGGGGCAAGGATGAATGGTCAGGAACCTGCCCCCCACCCCCAGGTGTGATTTGTAGCCTGGGGCTGGTCAGCCGTATGACTTCCTTGAAGGCTGGCCCAGCGAGGGAAGGCAGTGATCGAACCCTTGTTTTATGTGTTGGAGACCCAGGCTCTATTCCTGGCCTGTACATGTCATGGGCAGCCGCGACTGGTCTGTTGGTGAAGGCCTGTGTGCTGCTGGGATGCTCAGCGGGTCTCAGTGGACACCCCACCTTAGACAGACGAGGAAGAAAGGCCTGGTGATCCGCTCAGCATTGTCTAACCCCCAGTATCTCGTCAGGATGGGGCAAGACTGGGTGGCATAGGAGGGGGCCATGAGTTGGGGCCCATCCCACGGCAGCCCAACTGCTGCTTGGCATAGGGACCTCTGAATTATGTTGTTGGTCATCCAAGTCAAGCCGCACCTGTTTCGTGGGTAAGTCGTGTTACTCAGCAAAAGAAGAGGGACATTAGCTTACAGCCTGAGAGGGCCAGCCTAAAGAATATTCCCTAACCCCCTGCCCACCCTGTGCCTGTGGGCAGTGGCCTCCTCCAAGCCTCGGTTCCTCCAGAAATGGAGCAGCCATCCTCGCGGCTCATGGGTGGATCAGCCCCAGGTGCTGTGTGTGTGTGTGATCCCTGCTTGGCACCAGTCCAGGGAGGCTCAGGTCTGTGGAGGAGGTGCCTGCCCTGCAGAGTCTGCTGGGCCACACAGTCCTGGGGCTGTGCTCAGGCGCCATGGCCAAGGCCGTGCTGGGTGTGAGGAGCTTCAGGTTCTGGGAGGTTCCAAGCTGCTCTCTCTTACTCCACGTGCAGGCCAGGCACCAAACGTCTTCACGAACATGGAGGAAGACTTCATGAAGCCGGCCATCACCATTGTGGACGAGTTGCTGGAAGCAGGCGTCAATGTGACCGTGTATAATGGACAGCTGGACCTCATCGTGGACACGATGGGTAGGAGGGGACACAGGGACACTTACATGCATTGAGCTGGAAGGGCATCGGCCTTGCGTCTGTCTGTCCTGGTACATCCGTCTGCGTGCCCCTGGCCTTGACGTTTTAAACCAAGGGAAAGTGCTTGTGGCTGTGACCTTCAGAGAAGCCTGAGCCCTTTCACTTTGTAAGCCTGTCGGCATCACTAGAAAGAGAGAGGGAAGGGAAGGAAAAAGGTCAAAAAATAAGAAACGGCTTGCTGCCCGCACCACAAGATATCACAAAAAAGAAAAAGATTTCCCTGACTGCCGGGCAGATGCGCTCTTTGATTGAGGGAAAACCTCGTCTGCATGGTCTCGCGGTTAAATATCGAGCTTCGTAAAGTGAATTAAAGCTAGTCTAAGAGACTCCATAAGCCCGGCACTCAGGGCCAGCCAGGGGCTCCCTTCTGCTTTTGGCCTGGCCGTGGGTGGTTCAGAGCCAGTCTCAGACCCACGGTTGAATCGTAGACCGTGGCCAGGGCGGTGTGGTCCATTTCATGAAGCCACGAGTGGGGTTTTTGTGGCCTGGGTGCAGAGGGTGCTGAGGATGGTGTGCCGAGATTTCGTGCTTGGCCATGAGCTGTCAGGTGATCCAGCTGGCCGGCTCCTTCCTCCTGTGACCCCCCAGGCACACCCACCTCTGGACATGCCCACCGGGCCCCACAGAGGCCCCTGGGCAGTGGAGAGTTGGAGGCAAGATGCAGTTGGGCGGCTGGCCCCTCCCAGGAGACCTTGGCTTGTAACGTTTGTTCCAAGAGCCTAGCATCAGCAGCCTTGAGAACTTCCTAGAAACGCAGACCTTTGGTCCCTCCCTGGGACTGCTGGGCCTGAATCTACATTTTAACAAGGTTTCATGCACTTGGCAGGGTGGGAAGCACCAGGTGATAGGCTCTAAGTCTCCCCCACCCCCGCCCTCGCTCTGTCCTGCTGCTCATGCCCGGTCTTCGTCTGGTCCCTCTCCCTAGGCCAGGAGTGTTGGATGAGGAAACTCCAGTGGCCGGGACTGCCCGCGTTCAATAAGCTGAAATGGAAAGCCGTGTACAGCAACCCGGCATCTTCTGAAACATCTGCGTTTGTCAAGTCCTATAAGAACCTGGCTTTCTACTGGATTCTGCGAGCTGGGCACATGGTGAGCGTCAGCTCTGCTAGTCCCTTAGAGGCCACCGGGCACGTGCACTCGAGTGGCCTGGAACCAGAAACGCCACCTTGGGGGGTGGCCCTGGGGAAAGTGTCCTGCGACTGCGTGACTTAGGGCAACATAAATTCATTCTCTCGCAGTGCTGGAAAAATCTACAAGCAAGATGCTGGCAGGGTGGGTTCCTTCTGAAGGAAGCGTGGGTGGGTCCCATGCTTCTCCCCAACCTTCTAGTGCTTTCCTGCCATTTTTGGCTTCTATATTATGCATCTTTCCCTCTCAGCCTCCATCACCCCTGGCCTTCTTTCCTGGGTGTCTGTCTCGCTCTCTTCTCTTCTCATGAAGACACCGGTCAGAGCGGATTAGGGCTCTCCCCGCTCCAGGATGACCACCTGTTAACGTCATTGCATCTCCCGGACCCTGTTTCCAAATCGGGTCCTATTCACAGGGGCTGGGGGCCAGGACACAAGTCACCCCTTAACAGGTGGGCAGCCAGGCTCGGGGATCTGGAAGACTCGGTCTGAAGGAAGAGGAGGAGTCAGCTTGGGCAAGAGGCGGGGGAGCCGGGAGCATGGAGAGCAGCTAGCTGTCCGCAGGTCTGAGGAGCTTCTAGGAATGGAGAGAGAGTCAGGGCGAGAGGAGGCTGGGAAGGCGGAGGTTGTCCAGTGGGCTTAGAATGCAGACTTTGTCCTAAGGGCAGCGGGCCATCAGGGAGGGGCTTGAACAGAGGGGTGAAAGGGTCCGATTGTCTGAGCACCAGCATTCTGGCAGCAGAGGGGCCTAAGGCAGGATCTGCTGGGGGCTCCCATCTAGGAGACCATCTGACGAGATGCGAATGTGATAAAAGCTTCTGAAGGAGAGTTGTCAGGGCCTGGGAGCTGCTTGGGGGGGAAGAAATGAAGGAGGGCTTTCTGGTTTGCTCTCTGGGGGACGGGGGGGACAATTTGCTGTACAAGGTGAGTTTGAAGTACTTACAGAACCGCCAAGGGGGGTTTCAACAGTAAACAGGTGTATCTGTTTCGAATGCTACAGATAGAAACAATGTATCTAGATCTGGCATCAAGACGCAAGTCCTTGGAGATGGGGGCTTGGGGGAAACGTCTCAAGTGGAGGCTGAGGAAGGCTTAGCCAGAGAAGGGAGACCTGGGGTCTCAGAAGCAGAGGAGAGAAGGTTTGGGGAAAGGGGCAAGACTGCGGAGGGTCCGTGCTGCTGGGCTCATCGGTCCCACCACGTCTGTAGCGGCCGTGGCTCACATGCGCAGCGGCTGTCAGGCTCAGAAGCCCGGTAGACAGGCTAAAGAGAAGAGGGAGCAACAAGGGAGGGGAGCTTCCTGTAAGAAGTTGGACCAGAAGAGGGAGTGAGCAAGACGGCTGGACACAGTGGGGCATTTCCCCCCAACATTTTGATGGGCATACAACTCACGTATCCTACAATCCCATAGTGACGCCAATTCAGGCAGAGGTGTCCAGTCATCACCACAGTCAGGTTGAGAACACTTTCTTCTTGGACCTGGGTGGCGAGCTCCCCGGCTCCCTCCAGTGTCCCCCGCCGTACCCGTCAGGACCCATTTATCCAGTTACTGTCTCCACAGATTTACTTCTCCTGGATTTCACAGACAGAGAAACATTGACCAACAAACGACAGCAAAACTAACGAGTAAAACAGATAGAGACCTTCATTGAAAAGAAAGCAAGAGGGGACATTTTTATTTTTAACGGCTCTAAGGTCTGAGTATCGACTGAGTAAAAGCTAGCAAGACATCTCAGGCAGAGACTGCTCTTGCTAGAGAGCAGTCTCCACAGAGGCAGGAGGGAGGGGCAGGGGGCCTGGCCAACCACACACTCCGTACTGGAACCACGCCCATTTCCCCCCGAAATCAGCCTGCATCATTTCCCCTTCAACTCAATCAAGGTGACTGGAGGAGTCTGCCCCACCCTGCCTGCTTCTTCCAGGACCCTGGCCTGGAGGGAGAGGGGAGGATGCAGACAAGTCTAGGGTCAAGACCTTTCAAAGCTTTTGATGATTGTTTACGGAGGAGATTTGCCCAAAGACCTCAGGGGAAACAAAATTAAAAAAACAAACACTGCCATGGAGTTGATGCCGACCTATAGTGACCCTAGGGACAGGGCTGAACTGCCCCTGTGCGTTTCTGAGATTGTGCCTGTTGACGGGAGAAGAGAGCCTCGTCTCTGCCCCAAGGAACAGCTGGTGGTTTCAAACTGCTGACCGTGTGGCTCGCAGGCCAATGGGTGTCCACCAGGGCTCCCTAAGAGGGAAGACCAAAGAAAGCTGGGATTCAAAGATGGGGTTTTGTTGGCAGCTGTCTTAGGAGCCTCCCTCTTGGACTTGTCTCCTCATCGTTCCCAACCTGGGAGAATCCTTCCCAATGTTGAGCTCTTCTTCCTTGTGTGGCGGGGTCCCACAGAACCTTCTCCTCCATTTGGGGCCTTTCCCTTGGCTTATTCTATAGGGAAAAAAGCAGTCCCTCAGTCCCAGTGGAGCAGGAGGTTCTGTCCTAAAGGTTGACTTCCCCAGGCCCTGCCCACCCCCACACAGTCAGGGCCCAGAAGAGAACGGTGTCCATCGCAGGGGACATTCACAGAAGAGCCACCTCTAAGGGATGCCCCAGGTGCAGTGTCCTTGGGAGTCCTAATGCAATGCTGCCTGTTCGGTTCCAGGTTCCCTCCGACCAGGGGGACATGGCGCTGAAGATGCTGCGGATGGTGACTCAGCAGGAATAGTGCGCTCTGGCCCGGAGAGGAGGGAGCCGCACTGAGGACCCTGGCAGTCTTTGGTCCCACCCTGGGCTTCTCTGAGCCTGACCTTGCCTCGTGATTGTGAAGGCCCTGCCAGCCTCTCGCCGTGGAGGGCAAAAGTGCCTGTCGCCTGCAGAGCAACTTGGATATCATTTCTGCTGCTTAGAAAACCTACGATTTTTAAAAATGAATTTATTTTCAGTAAAATGGAGGGCTATGATAGATTAACTTTTGTATTACAAAAGCAATCATGCGAATTGAAGACAAAGTGGGCAATCGCCAGGTAAGCACAGAACGAAACGAACCCCTACCTTCCTTTCCCCGGGGGAGCCGTGCTGCCCCTCCCTGTGGAACCCCACAGATGGTCTTGCTGCGTATGCACATGTATTTTTTACCGAAACAAAATCATTCTTGTATCTCATTTAGCCATCGACTTTGTGCCTCTGCCAAGATGTCCCAAATACCGTTTCATGTCAATAAATATTCTTCTGTAACATTTTAGTGGCTGACGAGCGTCCCATTTTGTGGAGGTACCGGAGTTGTAGTCGATTAACATGACCCTTCCTGCCACACGACCCTTCCTGATGTAGAATAAATCCCAGGCGTGGCGGGCACTCTCTGCTAATTCTGATGGACAGGACGAGGGTGGCTTTCCTGGAGCTGAGTGGAGCGTGAACCAAGTCACCCCTCTGTTTCCTCGGGGACATCTAGACTGGAGGGTGTCACTTCAGATACACCCCGTGTTTGCCTCAGTTGGGACACAGAGGCTGGTGCCCCTGCGTACTTCCAGCACGCGTCGCCTCGCCTGGACAGCCAGACTGCCGTTTCCTGACTGAGCTGTGGAAGAAGCAAGAAGAGCTGCTGTGACCTTTGGGCGTGTTCGGCTTTTGGCTCTGGACCCTGCACTTGGCTCACCTCTGCCTGGCCTTTGGCGCTGAGACCGAACAGCACCCCCCACCACGTGAGGCATGCCGTGAGTTTCTGTGGGAGGTTGTGCAGGAAATCACAGGACTCGGACTCCCGAGACTCCAGGAGGCGTGGGGGCAGGGAAATGGAGCAGAATAGCGTCTTGGGAGAGTCGGGACATCTTTAACTAGCTCCTTGGCATGAGTCGGATATTCTTTTTTTTTTAATACTTAATTTTTTTAATCATTTTATTGGGGCTCATACAACTCTTATCACAATCCATACATACATCAATTGTGTAAAGCACACGTACACATTTGTTGCTCTCATCATTCTCAAAACTCGCTTTCTGCTTGGGTTCCTGGAATCAGCTCCTCATTTCCCTTTTCCCCTTCCCCCCCTCCCCGCTCCCCCCTCCCCAATATTCATTTTTCTAAAGGAAATGATTACCACAGTACCTTCCTTCATTCGTATAATACAAACTGTGCTCAGGCAAGTCGGCCTGATGGTCACTTTTTTGAATACACACCTTATTGCTTTACACTAAATTCCTAAAAGCATCATTGTTTAGTCAAAGGATCGTCGAATTTCTATAAAAATTTTTTTTAAGCAACCGAATATATAAATCATTCATGAGTCATCCTGCTCATTGTACAAACTTCATTATCTTTTAAATTCCACTTCAGTTCACACTTAGGAGGTCCCATGCGCTCATGGATTATGACTGCCCCAGAGGGTCTTGTCCGCTGGGAGTCTTTAGAGGACTAGTTGTCAGTCCCGGGGAGCTGCCGAGTGTGTTTGAACTGCCAACCTTTAGATTCCTGCTGTCATTGTGTGTTGTTGATTGAATGTGATAGAACAGCCCCAGTAGGGTTTTCTTGGCCATAATGTTTGTGGGCTGGGGGAGATGGAAGGAGCCCAGGTGGCCCTATGGATTAGGTATTGAGCTGCTAACTACGAAGTCAGGGTTCAAACGCATCCACCACTCAGTAAGGTTCAGACTCTCGGGGACTGCGTACCCAGTCACTGTGAGTCGGATTTGACTTGATGGCAGTGGGTTTGGTTTTTAATTTTTCTCCCTTGGCGTGGCTCGTGGGTTAAAGCGGACAGCCTTTCGGATGGCAGTACAGTGCTTAACTATTGCTGTTGCAACACCAGGGATCCTCTTGGGGTCTGGAGCACAAACAGAGCCCTGCTGGCATCAGGGTTGGGGGTTTGAACAGGAGAGCAGACATCGTGATTTGCCCCTGGAGAGACGACAGCCTAGAAAACCCTATGGGGCAGTGTGAGAGGAAACCAGCCTCTTAGGACTGATGGGGTTCTTAGGAATGGTTGCACAATGAGGAAGAAAAAGAGAGACAGACAAAGAAGATAGTGTGCTCACCTCCATGGGCTCAGTCTCTCACCAACTTACATAGTCTTGGGCCATGCCAGCCCCCCAGCTACAGACAACCACGTACTTAACAAGGATGTCCCTGAGCTCATTGGGCGGGTGTGGGCAGGGTCTCACTTAACACCAGTTCTGGGGCAGGTAGAGGGGAGTGCCTGTCCCCTAAGCACAGAGAACAATAGCGACGTGTCTGCTCCTATAGATGAAGCTGCCGGCCAGACAGCAGTCAGCCAGCCATGGGCTTGAGAGAGGTACCATTGAGGTAGCACTGTTCTGGGATGACATTGTGGGGATGATTTTTAATTAGGAGAATGTGACTGGGACTCTTCGACTCACAATTGTGAAGGCCTCCCTCCACCCAGAATCCTGGCCTCTTTCTCGTGGGCCGAGAGAATTTGTCTGCATGCACTCTCTTCTCAGTCCTCCGTTTCCCCAGGGCAGCTCTGCTCCGTGCTGTGGAGTTGCTGGGACTTGAAGCCCACTCGAGGGCACCAGGTCGACCTGTGCAAACCGTGGACCCCTGTGCTTCCCAAAGTGAGACCCAGGAGAGCCGCCCTGGGTTCCGGGCTACGGTACAAAAGCTTTCATCGCCTGGAAGGCAGGGAGTCTCTCTTTCCCGCCCCCCCCTGCAAAGGCCAAATAAGTTTGGCCACCTATGGTTTACACCACCCAGAGATGTAATCTCATAGAATGATCACCCATGACTCATCCTCAGCCAGCCCTCAGGAATGTGACCCATGAAGTATTCATCTGCGTGATTGGTGTGTTTCTTGTGGTCACGTGTAGCAAGAAATGAGTCACGCTATTGCCCTACTGAGAAGCAGGCTACTTTACACAAACATCCTGGTTGGTGGTGGAGGTTTATTTCATTGGTGGGAATCCGAGTTTCTGTTTCCATGGTTGGTTAGTTAACACAGTGTATGGGACCGGCCCCCACTTTGACCCTGAGACTAAAATGGACTTTCTTGGGCAGAGACACCCCACCCAGGTCCCTATACTTTGCTGCTCAGAGAGAGCTCTCCTGTCTGCTCTTGGACAAGAAGGAGCATTTGGATGCCTGTGCTAGTCCAATGTGGATTTTTCCCGGTGGCTTTTGTTTCGTACCCTTAGCTGGAAGCTGAACTTGGAGCCGAAGTGCCATAGAGAGTTATGAATTACTGAACAAAACCACGAATTGCCATGCACGTTGAGTTCCCAACCTTGCAGGTAAAGTTAGGGCATTGATTGGGGAGGAATGTGATCTTGATCATTGGGATGAGTCCTGCAGGAAGATTTTAACCAAGCAGGGGCCCTCAAATCCTTTCTCAATAGAAGCAGCCCTCCCATTCTCACCTGAGATCCTATGTCCAATTCCTAGCCTTGCCCATGGCCCCTATGCTCTGAGCTGGCACCTGAGGTTGTGTGGGGGCATTCCCTGTGACAGTTGGCTGCATGGGAGGCAGCACATCACTGATAGTGGGCAGTCTAGCACTGTGGCCCAGCCCTGAGTGGTTGTTAGGTGCCATTGAGCAGTCCCGGCCCATCGCGACCCTCTGCACAGCAGACTGAACCCTGCCCAGCCCTGCACAACCTTCACAATTGTTCCTGTCCTTGAGCCCAATATTGCAGTCATGGTGTCAATCCATCTCCTTGAGGGCCTGTCCCTCCTTCACTGCCCCCCTACTTTACCAAGCAGGATGCCCTGCTCCGAAGACTAATCAGTCTCTCGCGACAACATGTGCAAAGTATGTAAGAGGAAGTTGTCCCTTATCTCTAAGGAGCACTGTGGCCGTACTTCTTCCTAGGCAGATCGGTCTGTCCTTCTGTTAGTTCATGGAACTTTCAATATTCTTCACCAGCGCCACAATTCAGATGCATCAGTTCTTCCATCTTCTCTATCCACTGTCTAGCTTTCACATGCAGATGAGGCAATGGGACACACTGTGGCGTGGGTCAGGCAAACCTTAGTCCTCAAAGTAACACCCTCGCTCTTCAATACTCTGAAGAGGTCTCGTGCAGCAGATTTACCCAATGAAGTACGACTTTTGATCCATGAGCATAGATTGTGAATCCAAGCAAGACAAAAATCCTTTTTGACAACTTCCGCCTTTTTTTCTGTTTGTCATCGTGTTACCTGTTGGCCCCGTGGTGAGGATTTTGGTCTTCTTCACATTGAGCTGTAGCCCTTGCCCTTGATCTACATCAACAAATGCTTCAAGACCTCCTCATTTTTAGCAATGCAGATTGTTAATACATCTTCCTCCAATCCCAGTGATATATTCTTTTCCTTATAAGCCAGTTTCTCTGATTATTTGCTCAGCACACAAATTGAATAAATACAGTGAAAGGATACAACCCTGACATACACCTTTCCTGATTTTAAACCATTCAGGATCTCTTGATCCGTTCACACAACTGTTTCTTGATCCATGGACAAGTTCTGCATGCACACAATGTGCTGGAATTCCCATTCTTCTCAAGGTTATCCACTGTTAGTTTGACCCATGCAGTCGTGCCTTGGCATTGTCATTAAAACACAAGTAAACATATTTCTGGTATTCTCAGCTTTGAGCCAAGTTCCATCTGACATCAGCAATGAGATCCCTTGTTCCACATCCTCTTCTGAATCTGCCCTGAACCTCTGGCAACTCCCAGTCAACATACTACTATAATCACTCTTGGATGATCTTCAGCAACATTTTACTGGTGTGTGATATCAATGATATTGTTCTGTATCAGTAAATTCTGTTGTGTCACCTCTCTTTGGAATGGTTACAAATGTGGATCTCTTCCAGTCAGCTGGTCAAGCAGCTCTTCCAAATTTCCTGGCATAGATGAATAAGCACTTCCCATGATTATCAGCTTGCTGAAACATTTCAAAGGGTATTCTGTCGGTTCCTAGAGCCTTGGTTTTGGCTAATGCTTTCAGTGAAGCTTGAACTACTTTCTTCTTTCAACACCACTGGTTCTTGCTCATATGCTATCTCCAGAAATAGTGGATTATCAAGTAGTTCTTTTTGGTATAGCAACTCTGGGTATTCTTTTGATGCTTCCTGCACCATTCAATATTTTGTCCAGAGAATCTTTCAGTGTTGCAACTCCAGACTTGAGTGTTTTATTGAGTTTTTTCAGTTTAAGATATGCTGAGTGTGTTCTTCATTTTTCTACATCTTTCTAATTCTAGGTTTTTCCAATTCTAGGCAGCCCCGAGAGACCGTGGTCAAGG